ACACACACACACACACACACACACACACACACACACACACACACACCATTCTCGCCATCTTTTCCACCTGCAGGGTTTTGTCACTCATTACATAAACCCACGCCGAAAAAAAGGGGTTTCTGTCTCGGTTCGCCGTCGGTTCCCGAAACTCCTGGTGCAATTAAAGCGCGGCATGTCTTCGGTGCAGACTGTGATCGAATCGCTGCGTTTCCACCCAGAAAAAGAGTAGTGTCCGCAGCGAGACGCCGCAGCGGGATCCTTCCCTGAGGAGCCCGATAATGAAACACTCCACCTACAAATCGCACAAACCTGCTCACACGGTGTGAATGGAAACAGTAAAACATCAAGGAAGCTTAGGTGTTCACAACACAGGAGGAGAAAAGAAGATAATGGAATGTAGCTATGTTTAGATTTTTATTTATTTATTTATTTTTGTTATCCTCACTTGTGTGTTTTTCAGCTTTATTTGCTACTCAGAAATATCACATGTACAACTTATAGGTGAAATTAACACCAAACAAATAAAAACTACAACATTTTTCACTTTTATTTCATTACATTTAATGTGAATTCAGTATATTTCTTGTTTTTTCCCATTAAATCTTGTTATCCATTTGTTTCAGCAGCATATAAATATTTGGAATGGCATCAGCTTCACACATCTTAAAGGTGTTCTGTAATTGAAGCGTCCAAATGACACATTTTAGGTTTTATCTTCCTTGAAGAATTGTACATTTTTAGACTTTTCCATCAGTATATGTTGAAAAACCTTCCAGTTCAGCACCTGTGCTCACTACTTCTGCAGCCATGTCTTTTATAATATGTGCAGAAAATGTTTGGTTAAATTTGCTCAGTGTCCCTTTATATAGGGAGGATCAAGTTTGTAAAGAGAGGTGCTTGTTTTTGTGCATGTGCAGTAATGTGCAGAAAGCCAAAGGCTAAATGCCCTGTCACACTAGACAACTTATGCCAACTTATGAACATTTTAAAGATGTTTACATTGAAGATGGAATTGAAAAAATCAACATGAACCTTTTTTCCGCGTGTACATAATGTAGTTATAACAAATTGATCAAATGTATAATTTTATTTGCAATTTAGACATAAAAAATGTTTCATAAGTTGGCATAACTTGTCTAGTGTGACAGGTCCTTTACCAAGAACGGGACGTTAAAGAAGAGAGTCAACACTAGGGCTGCACAACATATTGAAAATTTATCATCATCGCGATAACAGCCTGTGCAATATGCATATCGCAACAACTGCATAAACTGCAATAAATGGTTGAATCAAAAGTTTGCATTTATGCATTTTGTTATTCAGATGGAAGCTTGAAATATTTCACCAATCAAATGGAGTCCTTCATGTATTTTTTTAAGTTCTTTTTTGTACCACAGCAGAAAGATAATGGATGCCAAATACTACATACATACGTATTTGTTCATTTATCGCAAGTCATATCGTCATCGCATTATCGCACATCGCAGGTTTTCCTAAYATCGTGCAGTCCTAATCAACACTTTATTTCCTATTTAGATTGATCAGATTATGCTAAAACAATTAGCCCAGAGGGACAGGAACAGTATGTGGTGAAGCTACTTAATAACTTCAACCAAAACCCAGTACACTATCAGTATACACTGAGAAGTCGATGAAAGAACATCCCAACATTTAGGCCAAACAATGATTACTTTTATATTTGTGAGATCATCTAATCAAATCTCCAGGTTCTTTCACCAGAGTTGCTAAATTCCTCCAAGTCACTATGAATATAATATAGCAAGTATAAAATATAATATTGATTTTTTTTTCCAATCTCTCTCTGTCATGTTGACTTTGGGAAAGCACAATTTCCTATTWGCATTGATAATAGATTTAAATAAATCCAACAGGCTAACTTTCTCTTGTGTTCTTAGCTCTTTGTGGCTAAGCTAATACGTTGCTTCTAGTATGAGCAGGGTACACATTTCCATGACTGTTGTATTAACTGTATTTCTTTATTATTTTTGAGCTGAACATTCATCTAAGGAGATAGATTGCAAAGACTGATCAAAGAGAGGGATTCATCTGCCCAAAAATGAAGAACGCCACAGAAATAGTAAGAAATAGTATGAACACCATAGAGATGATTTTCATTTGAGTCCATCCTTTTCTGTTGATTGCGGAAATCTACTTATTTTATCTATCTGGGTCACTTTTACACCATACACATTGCCAAGGAATTCTACTCCCCTTTTCCCACCTTTATATGCATTTAGCTGCAATGCAGGATTGGACAAGTTTTATTTAAATCCTTGAAGAAGCAAGTGATCATATGTAGAACAAATGGTACAGGTTCTGAATCAGGCAGTCACGTCATTGTAACAACACATTAGTCTTCCCTGTACAAAAGGTTGTCATGAAAACTTTCTGGTTCTGGTGTATTGTTTATTTGCTGCCACAACAAAAGGGCTTTCCAAAGACGTCTACAACCTTCAACCATCAGAGCCTGGCTTTTGGACTTGATGTAGTAGTTCTTTTAAGATTTGGAATATTATTTTGTTTAAATCCCAGTTTCCTTTGGGCCCAGACAATCTGACACGGCCTCTCATTTGGGTCGGGATTATACTTTCAACTCTACCGATTCTTCCAAGAATCGGTAGAGTTTACTTTGTAGACCGTTTGACAAATGTGACCCATGCTAGTGAAATGAATCAGAAAGAGCTCAGGCAGCAGAGCAAAAGACTTGACAATCTAGATTTTTCTGTAATTTAGATTTGCGTTWAATTGAGTATATAATGGGGCGGCTGTGGTAGAGTGGTTAGGGGAGTTGCCCTGGAACCGGAAGGTCGCCGGTTCGATCCTCGTCCAGTCAACTCAGTCGTTGTGTCCTTGGGCAAGACACCTTATCCGCCYTGCCTACTGATGGTGGTCAGAGGGTCYGGTGGCGCCTGTGTATGGCAGCCTTGCCTCTGTCAGTGTGCCCCAGGGCAGCTGTGGCTACAATTTTAGTTTGCTATCATCAGTGTGTGAATGTGTGTGTGCATGGGTGAATGTCTGTAGTGTGAAGCACTTTGAGTGTCCTGGATGGATAGAAAGGCGCTATATAAGTACAGTCCATTTACCATTTACCATAAAGACACCATAGCAATCCCAGTAACTGACATCACGTATAATCTTCCTGAAGTTAGCCATTTTTCTTTGTTGGCTGCTGTAGTGCCAGGAAATCCTTTTGTATAATGTTTGCTGCCATCATGCATGGGGAATCACTAATGAGAGTGCGCTCTAAGTCTAAGGTCATGGTTCTTGTCTGAAAAATGGTGGATTGCTCCCTCCAATCCAGCTTTGGAGGTGAGTCTTTGCCTCAAAAGGGAAAGAGTTGGAGTATTTTGGAGTCTTGTTCAGAGCTGATGGAGCAAGACATGGACCGGATTTGTCTGTAGTAATAAGGGGTTTGCTCTTGTCTGTTATGGTGAAGGAGCTGAACTGCGCGGAAAAGCTCTTGATTTACTGATGATTTTACAGTCAAAATCATTACCAATGGTCACAAAATACGAGCTAGTGAAATGGCATTCTGCCATACTGTGGCCAAGGCAGACCCAGAATACTGGAGGGGTAATGTAACCTCTCTCTGGATCGCTCAGGAGGAGTTAAAGTGTTTTTGAGGAGAGGGAAGTCTGTTTTCCTCTTGGACCTGCTACCTCTGTGATCTATGGATAAGATGATGATACACGAACAGACTGTTGAATAACTATATGCAGTGTTGGCTGGTGGTGATATTTTTAGGGTGGGCTAACCAATATGATGTATAGATAAAAGAAAACCTTCTGAGTCTCCTCCAAACAGCAAACACGGAAAGCAGAAAAGAGATCTGTTAGCTACACTTGCCATTAGTCAGTCCTTGTGCTGAAACCGGATCACAGAAAAACTTTGGTTTTGCTGCTTTTGCTGGATTTGAATATCCTTTGGTCTGTCTGCTCCCATCCTCTTCACTTCCATGAAGGAAAACAGGTGAGAAATCAAATAATCCACCTCGTTTATGTTTATCTTGCTTGCCATTATGCCTGCTCAGTCTGCCAAACCACACTCACATAGGCACGTTATTGTACCTCCACCCTCATTGGATAAAGCCTGTGGTTTTGGGCTGACCCTGGACTGAACAAAGTTAGAGCAGCAAAGTGAGGGGGCGGGACCAAACATCAGCCGATTGTTCTGTACCATAAGACATTAAATTAACAGGGCTGTGAAAAGTTAGCGCTTTGGAAAGAATCTGGTATTCTCTCCAGACAGACACCAGTTTTGT